GACTACAATATTTAATTTAATTATTGAATTGGTATTGTTTTGAACGGATTTAATAACATGTACACCATTGGCGATGTCTCTTACTGTTAATATTCTCACTGAGAAAGTTTATAAAATACCTTTAAGTAAAATCTCTTCGGATCTGCGGTAAAATACCTTTATTCTTATTAAATAATTTCAATAATCTATGTTTTTATTTATGACAACCACCTAATAACCTAACTTTAACGTCAACTTGACAATCCTGAAAAATATTATTGTTAACAAAAGAGTAAATCAATTTCTGAATTCGCTAACGCCAACTTATTTTTCATTAAAAAAAAATTACCAATTTTTGTAACTAGGTCGGCCATACTGAGGAACTTTTAAAAGAATAGTACTATACAAACAGAATTATTAGTATATAACCGACACAAATAAAAATAAAGCATGTCAGTCATATACCACATGTCGATAAATATCAAGTCGTGATATCAGAAAAAAACTTCAACACGAAACAATATTGATTTCCCTATATTTATTGCTGTGTATTTCTATAGAACAGGAAGGCTTAAAATCCTTGGGTATAAATAGGAACTGTCGTTTCCTTATGTATAACACCGCCAACAGTACCAATGATGCTAGAAACAGCAAGAAAAATGAAAATGTAGAAGGCTTGATACGTAATTAATGAAGTTCTGGTTAATAAAGGCGTTTATGTTTATAATTTCTTTCTTCCTGATGAGTCAGTATACGGTTAACTGTTTTGCAATTAGAAAAAAAGCGCTGTTGCAATATAATTACTCAAATTGTTAAGATAGGAATACAGCTAAATGCCAGCATTGTTCAATCCTTGAAAGTTGATTGACTAAAAGAGTTACCATAATGTCAAGTTACAAAAAAATGTGACAATAATTGTATCACAGAGTTATTTGACATCATTACACAGAGATTAAAAAATATCTTTTTTTGATCAAGAGTATACCACTGTTAGCTACCTGGTGGCTATTAACTGTAGTACTAATAATAATAATAATAATTTTACCTTGACTTAAGTTACTTGTTTACTGCGTGCCGTATTTAAAGTAATTAATTTAATTTAGTCAATTTCTCTACGGTTAAATTTAATTTTAGATAATATAATAAAATTTAATGAGGTGGAATCAGAAAAACAACAAAGGTTATTTATTCTATTAAAATGTAGATTAGACTAGATCCTTTCAGTGTATGCTTTGAAACGCTTAAAACAATTATTTTTAGTTATTATCTCGAAATCAAGTACGCCGGCAATTTTATTCTATATACAGGGTAGCCCAAAAAGTTATATATAAGATATACTGTAACTATAATTTTTTTATTGAATTTTATAGTTTTTATTTCTTACTGAATTAGTATAGGTAAGCTTATAACTTCATAGCAGATATTTTATGTATTTTTTTACGTATGGGGCTGTGTATTAAATACAATTTTAGAATTTTAACATACCGAATGTTTTATTTATGGCTTTTTATGGACGTCAGAGACACTTTGAATTCCTTTGCGGTGGCCGTCAGTCATTTACCTCGATTATAGATGCAGTGTGTCCGATGAATTGCCAGTGGATTGTTCCTTATAAGGCCGTTTCTGTTCGGTATTTTTCTATTACACATTCACATTGATTACTCAGCCTTAGAAGAATCTTTTAATACCATAAAACGACTCAATGGTCAGGTGGTATAATTGAAAAATTAATGTATCTTTTTAACAGATTTACGATTGAAAAAGAGAAAAACATCAAAAGTTGTAGTCATTTTCGGTGAAACAGGAAGGGACTAATAACAATGGAATACGTCAATTAATCTTTGATTTATGTCATATACTAACGTATCATAGTTTCATAGTTGTCGATTTTCGAAAGAAATCAGTACATGTATATTATTTCGTATACTTTTCATTTTATTGATTTTATGGAAAGCACTGTACATTAAAATGTTGTATCCTATGTTATAGGGCTTGTTTCTCTCCACAATTTCCTGTCTCACAATGTACCGTTTGTGTCCAGGAAGGGTTCATAGTTTCATAGTTGTCGATTTTCGAAAGAAATCAGTACATGTATATTATATTCTCATATACTAACGTATCTCGTTTTTTTATCTGAAAAATTAAAAAAGTTATACTTAGGGGTGAGCCACTTTTGAGAAACACCCGGTATACTTATCAAAAAAAAAGAAACAAAAAAAAATAATTTCTTTAGGGATTAAAATCCATAAAAAAAACTCGGTTTATCTCAAGTTACTATGTATGTTATCCGTCAATATTTAACACCAATCCGCTTGCTATTTCTTGGAAATTCTTTATTATTACACAAATACAACGACAATCGTATGTATCGGGTATAGAAATCTCGTCGTTTCCATTGTTTAATTACAAAACAATATCCAAGAAGTCGCGGCTTTCTGTCTAAGCAAACAGAAATTTTTCACCTTGCGACGGGTAAGTGAACTCTCTCTGTATATTTCTACATACGCATGCACTTAATGCTATATGAATACAAAACAATATGAAGCTTTGTATACAGAAAAAAAAAGAAACTATGGAATCGAAGGATTTTTTTAACTCAGAAAAATAGTATAAAAATACCAATATTTATACTTTAACTGATTACTTGTATCAATAAACCGATCCAAAGATTAAAAATTGTATTTATAATTAGCCATGTCAAAAAAATACTCCCTTATCTCTACTTATTACGACACAAACATTATTTGTTCAACAATTAAACAATGTGCAGCATCTGATATACAGGGTGGTCCGAACTGTATTCTGGAAACTTCGGCAGCATATTCTACAGATAAAAATAAGTAAAAAAAGTTCGTATAAATGTATGCCCAAAAATGCTTAGTTTCGGAGATACAGGGTGTAGAAGTTCCATTTTTATTTCGATTTTTTCCAAATAATTTCTGAAGTAACGTCAATATTTGTATGAAAATTGGTGTTTGGGAGTTTTGTGACACGAGAAATTTGATTTTGATGTCAAAATTACTCCTATTTTTAGGGGGCGGCACCTACATGTGTTTTAACTATTTAGAAGAGTAATATCTTTTCGTCCGTACCTGTATAAAAGCACTGACTAAAAAATATACATTTCCATGACTTTTTATGTAAAAAATATCTCTTGGTAAAAATCGCTACGAGCAACCGTTCTCAAGATATTTAGAATGGAAATAGTCGATAAATCTCATTATTGACAAAAATAAGTACACGTGTTGAGTATAGTTATTTGACTGATATAATAAATTTTAATTTTTTTAAATCAATCATAAGTTTTTCTGCGAAAAAATAATGATTAAACAGTTTCTGTTGAACTTTTGACACAAAAAAATTTCAAATTTATGATTTCAGTCTAATAACTATTTAGTCAACACGTTTAATTTATGTCAATGATGACAGGTATTGATAATTTCGATTCCAAATATCTCGACAACCATTATTCGTAGCGATTTTTACCAAGAGACCTTTTTTATGTAAAAAATGTCGTAAATGTATATTTTTTTGCTCAGTACTTTTATACAGGTACCGACGAAAAATTATTAATCTTCAAAACAGTTAAAACACATGTAGGTGGCGCCACCTACAAATGGGAGTCATATTGACATCGAAATAAAATTTCTCGTGTCAAAAAACACCCATCCACCAATTTTCATCCAAATATTAACCTTACTTCAGAAATTATTTCGAAAAAATCGAAATAAAAATGAAACTTCTACACCCTGTATCTCCGAAACTAAGCATTTAAGGACATACATTTATACGAACTTTTTTGCTTATTTTTAATTGCAGAACATGCTGCCGAAGTTTCCGGAATACAGTTCGGACCACCCTGTATATGAATGATCTAAAAAAATATTATAAAAACGGATAATTTTATTGAATGATTACATTCCACAAAATTCCATTTAAAAGATTGACTTAATATTTAAACTTTCATCAAAGAGAAGTATCCTCGTTCGGGAAGGGAAAGGAAGGGAAGGGAGTGGTCGGGAAGGGAAGAGAAGAGAAGAGAAGTGAAGTATCCTCGTTCCATTTGAAAACATTGTGATATGATTAAAAATACGATTTAGGCATCTTTTAACCGGCCAGGACAAGACACGAAAAACATTAGACGATCAAATCTATTTTTCCAAGGCTTCTTGATTAAAAATTAGTGATATAAAACTTAGTAGAATAAACCTGCCTTTTTAAAAAAACTGGAAAACCAGTTTTTGGTTTCTTTGGAGCCACTTATTACTGTTTCATTTCGGGTGCGTGGATGTATCTATGTTAAGAAAAGAATATAAGAAAGCCATTCATAAGTGTCCATCTTTCGAAAATCGTGAATTTATACAAGATAAAATACCATTTTAACGAAAAGAAAAAACGACCGAAAATATTAATTCACGAGCGATGAAATCGCGAGTGAATTAATTTCGGGAGACGATAATGCAATTTTATTGTCGTGTACAAAACAATATTTTTTTCCATAGCGAGTTACGTTTTAAAAAATATTCAGAAATTATTATTTCAAGGAATTTATTACGAGTAGAAAAAATATTGTGCTGGATTGGCGTTGTTTTCTATGTAATTTGACAAATAAACAAAGCTGTCTCTTTAGTTGTCAGTTTTGAGTCAATATTTTTTAATTCTCTTTCGTGTCGATTGCTGATTGAATTGGAACCAGAAATGGCTCAAAACGAAATAAGTAAGTTACCAACAGATATTTAGGCTGAGGCGACAATCGCCATTTCCAAACTAATCCCGAATAACTTATGAAAAGGAATACAAAAATTTTCAAAAATGGAAGCAATTAAAAAACGTGCGAGAAGATATAAAGTTTTTAACCTATCATCGCTGTTAAAGTATCATTTAATCTACCCTTGCGGTTAAACTACTATTTTATCTACTATTTTTGACAGATATAAGGCAATTTGAACAGTTGCTATGGAAAAAATGAATTTATTTATATACAATTTAATAAATTTTAATGTTTGTCTTTGTTGTTGCAGGTTCGAGAAGCACTGGTTCCCCGACTTGCCCAGCAAGGGCCAGGGTTACCGCTGCATCCGCGTGAACGGGCTCAACCCCGTCGATCTCACCCTGAAGCTGGCGGCCAGCAAATGCGGCCTCCGCTACCACGACCTCAAGTTGCCCACGGAACTGACCGTCTGGGTGGACCCCAACGAAGTATGCTATAGGTCAGTAAACATAAACCAAAATGTAGAACACACTTAAGTTTTTCTTGAAGCGAGTCCAGGCAGGCTGTGAGGATTTTGTTTAAATGCGATTACCCCACCCGTGGAGAGAGATTATTGTTTTTCTTCTATACAGGAGGGTGAATCTTAAATAAGTGCAAATATTTTCAGGGCTGGTAGATATCGATAAAAGAAACATATTTTCTCTTTACCGTTTTTCAAATTAGGCCAAAATAACCGAGTAATTTTACTTTGAAAACTTCCAAAAAAAAATTTGCTTAAATTTTGAGAACCGCTGGATCTTTCCTGGGTTTTCTATTTTGTAAATTTAATCTACAAACCTATGTTGTCATATTATCAAGAAATTATATGTTTTAACTAAAAATATTTCCAAAAAAATTCTAAATTTTCAATTTTTTTTTCACGAAAAAAACTCATAACCGTGTTTCTGGGGTCGAAATATATTACCCCAAAAAATATTTGCACTTATTTAAGACTTACCCTGTATTGTTACGTTTTGTTTTAACTATACAGGGTGTTTCAAGAAACATGTGCCATCTCTCGTGAGATTCCTCACGTAAAAATAATATTTATTTTTCATATCAACATAGGTCCGATTCTGCTTTGTTTCATAGCTACTGGGTGTTAAATGTTAATATTTTTTCGATTCATTATAATCTTCTTCCAAGTACTTTTAGCGTTTCGAATGAACTTTTGAGGGTGAAAGTTACTATAAATGCGACAAATTTTAAAGCTAAAAAATGTCGACATTCACCAGGGACGTGCATATGGGTTATCACTGGAATATTTTTCTTAAAAAATACATGGACACCACTGACTTTTTTCTTCGTGTTAGTAAAAGTGTGTAGACTGTTTAAAGCCGATTAAAAGTTGACTCTTTATTTTTTTTTCGATTTCGATCTCTTTGAGGAGATAAACGCATTTTTTTTAATTTGCCTTAATCCAAGTCTACGAAAAACCTTAAAAAAATAATATCTTTAACTGTTCAAAGTGTTAAATAAGTACTCATTGATTACTCATCAAAAATTATGAAGTTATGAAGTGCCGCCGGAATGTCTGAGAATATATTGATGAGCTAAATGGAAATTTAAACAATAAATACAATTTTTTAGTAAAATTCTTAAGACTAGTTTTTTTTTATAATATTAATACAAGTAGTTTTTATGAAAGGCACGTTTAATATTGTACGGCTTGGAGAATAGAGACAATATAGACACTTTATTATTAATAATAATAATAATAATTCCGTTTACTTTGCTGTTGGACTATGCGTAATGTTTAAGATAACATTCCTACTATATTTAGTAGGTTATTGCAAACATAACGATGGGAATATCGACGTACAGAACTACGCAGTTAGATTAAGTGCAAAAACACGACAATTAATTTCCAAACAATGCGTCGATAACAGCTTTACGAGTTTACAGAGCCGCACTCGTACTGTTTTAGCGCTAATTTTCAACTTTGATACATGGGAGATTCTGTAGTAACTGTGAGATTTTGTGTCCTGTATTATTTGCTCTTTTTTAGCGTTCCTTACCCAAAAGGTAAAAACGGGAACCCTATTACTAAGCCTTCGCTATCCGTCCGTCCATCCGTCCGTCTGTCACAAAGGTCTATCTTATGAACCGTTATAGCTAGACAGTTGAAATTTTTACAGATAATGTAACTATGTTGCCGCTATAAGAACAAATACTAAAAACAGAATTAAATAAATGTTTATAAATAAAAAGGTACTTTCACTAAACAAAAAAACCGCATGGGCGTGTTTCTGGGGGACTATACTATCAGTTAAAACGAACTATACTACTAGCTAAAATACGTGCATTTATTTCTGGGACACCCTGTATATTTTTTTAATAAATAAGTACCTAGCATCTAACATTTTTCTGTTTACATCTGATTGGTATATTTTGGATACCTTGGTTTTGTGTATACAGTAATCTTTGTCTACTTATGGTATTTTTTTGATGAATAACCCATATAATGAAAAATCCGAGGGAAAATCAGAAATAATACAGATAAATACATAGAACGTAAAATCCAGATGTTCAGTTAGTTTTTTTTTGGTTTTTTTGTTATTTTCTCAAGTTGTTTTGCAGGAAACGGCTCATCTCGGTTACAACGAGGGATCTACTTTATCTGCAATAGGTTATTAAGTTTTTGATACGATAGGATTGGATATCACGTGCTTTAGATATGTGTCCAAAATAAATATTTGAACGCATTTTTGACGTTTAGATTACACAGACGTCTCGTATTTGCTTTTATGCCGTTTTTTTAATAACAAAAATTAATTACTTAAATTTTTTTTCTTATCAAAAGTAATTTTGAGTGTAGAGGGTGTCCCAATATTTTGCGGACATTTAAAAAGAACTACAATACTCCGTGTCGAATGAGGTGAATAACCCTGTAGAATATATTTTTAGAAATTTCGTAACAAGGCAATTAAAATAAAAAAAAAATATTTAGTGTGTCCCATTTAAAAAGGGCTTATTTTTTGGTATTTATTATAATTTTGCTAATATCTTCGGTTTGACAGAAGATATCAAGATGCGGTTTTCGCTGACTTTTTAAGCTTTTACTACTCTTTACTATCAGCTAAAATTACATATACTATTGCATTTAATTTTTTGGAGAAAACGCGCAATGTTTGTTAAATTGTAAGACAACGCCCCCTAGAGTCTACGTTCAAAAGCTTATTATTATTGTTTATATGGTACAATATAGAGTAAGAAACTCTCTTTTAAACGAGTCTTCGCTTGTTGGATTCCGATCATCCAGTCCAGAGTTATTAATATTCAAATAAAAACAGATCTAACCTTCCCCCACCACTTTATTTTGGTAGATATGGTAAAATGGCTCTAACAAAAAATATTCAAAATTTACTGAAGATTATGAATGTATACCTTATCTAGACAAAATTGTGTAAAAACTCCATTTTCTTATTTTTTGTTGTAGTTGCGCCCCCTAGCGGTCGTTCTACAAACTTGAAAATAATTTCCACCATTTCCCAAAGCCTCTTTAGTTATAAATATTTTTTTCCGCAGCCCCTACGGCTAATACTTTCCGAGATACAGCCGAGAGCTATTCTTAGTGGGATACCCTGTACAAAGACAATGATAGGCCATTGATAAATAGCTATATGGAGGGTGCAGTCTCAAAGTTGCTAGACTTTTTGAAAAGAATAACACTGGTGAATCTAACATAAAGATTAAAAGAGCCACCCAAAGCCACCTTAAAAATATAATCTAATCTCATAAATATGTAAATTTTATAAGGAATATTAATCATTTAGTTTATAGTAAAATCTATAGTATCATCCTTTGATTTTATAATGTACTAGCCTTGATAGAAATGGTTATAAGCTATAAACAATTATTATGCACTACGTCAATAATTGTTAATAAATAAAAACTGCCAGCTAAGACTTGATTATCGAAATATATGCTTCCCACGTTAAAATAAAAGATTTTGTATTACACACAATAAAAATCGAATTTCGATAAACGAATCAAAAGCTGAGTTGCATAAAAATACCGCCACTTTATAGATATAACAAATTTGTGCAGATTACGATTTCTGAATAATAAAAGTTTACTCGTGACAGCGTTATCATTTTAAGACAAAAAAAAAATAAGACTTGCGTAGGAAATGCAATGGCGTAAAATATGTTTATCTGCTTTGGAGAGGAATAACGAAATTATTTGTATAAAATAAGTTCGCATATAGACATTTTTTTTTTGGATCTTCAAAGCTCGGCACTTATTTAAGGAGCGCCCCGTATACTTTACGTTAATAATACCCTTGTATATATATATTTTTAAAGTAGATCAACCTAAGACGTTTATGGACTAAGACTACTAGATGGCAGGACATGTTTACTTCTGGGTACAGTCGACCGAACCTTCCTCATCCAGCCTATGTTGTCACGTCTTTAATATTATCAATATTTTTTTTCTTGTTATACACATATATTGAGATATTAATACTACAGTTTAATAAAGTAGGTTTTAATATTCCATAGATGTATTAAATACTCCTTATACTACTAAATTATAAGTCGGATACTGTTTAATAAGGATAAGTTCTTTACAATATGACAACACCGATTAGAGGCGAGGGAGCCTATTCATTCATTTATTACCTTGTAGTACGTGTCGCACGTGTGCGGTAAAGCTTTGTTGCCGCTATCTCCCCGGCTGTATTAACGCATTTTCTTAGCTTGTAGTCCTTAAGTGTTTATTTTACTGACTTTTCTGTTCAAAAACTATAAAATATGGTTCGCCAGTGCCAAATTTTGTAAGAAATTTGACTTAAATAATCCATTTAAGTCTTGAAACGACTTTTTGACCGGTAGGCAACTCTCAATTTACCCATTGGGAGTCAGTGGCGTTGTTGTAGAAAGGCGCTTATTTAGATAATATTTTAGTAAAATGTAAAATCTGAATTTTTTCTCTTATATTACATTATTTACTTACTTACATTGTAACAAAATCATAATTATAACCCTGTTAATAATTAATAATGTTTTTATTAAAAATATATTCCGGTTTATTCTAAAATTATCTTCAGAATCTAAAATAACATACAAGAATTTTAATATGATATTACATTATGAGACAATATTTTTTAATATACCGGGTCGTCTCAAAAGTGGTTCACCGCTATAACTTTTTTATTTTTTCAGATAAAAAAACAGATTTGTATGTTAGTAGGTATATGACATAAATTAGGATTTATTGACGTATTCAATTGTTTTTGGTCTCTTTCTGTTTCACCGAAATGATTACATCTTTTGATTTTTAAAGGCACCCTCGGTATATTTCTACTTTATTCGATAGAAAATGATAATAGAATTCTGAATAGAATGACATATCATATGTCAACTTTTGACATTGTCGCTTAAAAACAAATCGTATTATAAATTTCAATCCAGGGTGCCATGGTGTTGTTAAAAACACTAAGTTTTAATCAAGGAG